CGAGCCTAAGCCGGGGCTGGGAGAGGCGACCCCAGGAGTCAGCAGGCCTGGGCGGTGCCGGTGGAGAAAGATGTCTTGGCCCCGCCCCTGAACCAGGAGCCACCATGTTGGTGATACCCCCCGGACTGAGCGAGGAGGAGGAGGCTCTGCAGAAGAAATTCAACAAACTGAAGAAAAAGGGGGGGGTGGTGGCGGGCCGCCGCGGCGTGGCGCGGAGCGGCCGGTCTGTCCTATCCGCCGGCCCTGCAGCTGCCGCCCTTCCCCGCGGCTTTCATCCTGCAGCTGGTGCTCCCCAGTGTGGCTTTCCGGTCCGATGGTCTCACTGATGCCCCTAACCTATCCGAAATAAAGCCAGCATCTTCCTCCGAGCCTAACCTCGGTCCATTTCTCCATCTTCCAAATACGGACCCACCACAATCCTCTGAGTGTTTGGAGTCACACATTTCAGCTCTGCGGTGGCCGGTTAGAACATCGTCCTGACATGCAAGGTTGCAGGTTCAGCCCCTGTCAGGGCACAGACAAGAATCATCAGTAAGGGGAGCAGCACACCAGTGTTTCTCTCAAATCAATTTTTTTAAATCTCATCTCTGACTTTTCCATTTGCATAGCCAAACAATTGTCTTTTTTAATGTCCTATATAATAAAAGCCTAATATGCTAAGTGTCCAGTCAGCCGTTCAGCCAATCAAAGCATAATATGCTAATGATATGCTAAGGCCACTAAACCACTCACTATGACATGCACTGACCACCAGGAGGCACTCTCGACCGGTCAACCAGTTACTCTGATGTTCACTGACCACCAGGGGGCAGATGCTCTGACCGGTAGGTTAACACGTTGTTTGCGGGTAGCTTTTATCGCGCTAACAGGTGGCGTGAGCCATTTTTGCAGTTGAATAGATTGATTACCGTGATACCTGGAAGTACATACATAATTCACCATTGTATGTGTTAGAGACCCAAATTTTGTCCTTTGGAATAAGAAGCCCTGCAGCCTTCCCCTCAGGGAGGCCTGGGTGGACATGGGACCGTCTTGAAGACGGACACACCTCCCTCCCATGCTGCTGAGGCTCCTATGGCTTTGGCCTCGGCTAGCCCAGAGCCCCACCTGCTACCAACAATGTGATCATCAACCAAGGCAAAGCCTTCATTTCTTTTTTTTTTTTAAATATATATTTTTTAATTTCAGAGAGGAAGGGAGAGAGAAGTGGGGACATCAGTGATGAGAGGGAATCATTGATCTGTTACCTCCTGCACACCCCCTACTGGGGATTGAGCCAGCAACCTGGGCATGTGCCCTGACTGAGAATGGAATCATGACCTCCAGGTTCATAGGTCAGTGCCCAACCACTGAGCCACACCAGCCAGGCTCCTTGATTCTTTCTTGAAAATAATTTCTCCTATTTCTTTTTTCCTGCATATTCCATAAATCATCAGGTCTTTGCTGATGTTCACATAGACTGTTGTAATGGTCTCTAAACACGTTTCTTAGTGTGTGTTTTTAACAGATTTCTTCACTCTTATTAAAATGATCCATTGGGAGCACAAGACTGTCCTTTTTCTCAGAATCCTTAAGTAGTTTCACATTGTGAAATAAAATCTTTTTTAAAAAAATATATTTTATTGATTTTTTACAGAGAGGAAGGGAGAGGAATAGAGAGTTAGAAACATCAATCAGCTGCCTCCTGCACACCCTCTAACGGGGATGTGCCCGCAACCAAGGTACATGCCCTTGACTGGGATCGAACCTTGTGGAATAAAATCTTAGGTTGGTATCCCTTTTTTTGTAAAATAGAACTATTCACTAGTCCCAAAACATGCATTCCCAAAGCCTTCTTATATCTGCATTTTTTCACACTGTTTTCTTTGTGTAAAATGCTCTTTTTCTCCATCTCTATTATACAGATTTTACCCAGGGTCCAGTTTAATAGCCATTAGACATCAGAAAATTTTACTTGCTCTCGAGCAGTTTGCATCTCTAATAAACATTCTTGACAATTTAGTCCAGACATTCTATTTTTCAGATTGTAAGCTTCTTGCACAGGAGGAACTGTGTCTCATACTTTTGCATGTCCCTGCTATAAAGTAATGAAAGGCGTGTTCTTGTTAAGTACGCAGAAGATGGGTGGGTGAAGCCTATGCCAGTGGTCGGCAAACTAGGGCTCACGAGCCACATGCGGCTCTTTGGCCCCTTGAGTGTGGCTCTTCCACAAAATACCACGTGCGGGCGTGGACGTACAGTGTGATTGAAACTTTGTGGCCCGTGCGCAGAAGCCGGTTTTCGGCCTGGGCGAGTCTATTTTGAAGAAGTGCTGTTGCTATTTGGCTCTGTTGACTAATGAGTTTGCCGACCACTGGCCTATGCTTGCTTGCAGCTTATACCGGGAGCTCTGGTCCATGATTGAATTCCTCGTCTTCACCTTCAGAAACTTGATGCTTTGGGAAGTCACTGGATACCGTGGTTTGGGTGGCTTAGGTGTCGCTGGCACGGCAGGTGGTCTCGGGCTGCCTCAGCGAGCCATTCCAGGAGCACCACTTGCGTTGTTTTCTTTGAGAAAGGGAGCCCCCGGAGTGATGTGTCGGGGGCCTTGGGAAAGGACCTGGTCAGGGTGGCCCTCTCCAACTCCTCTCTTCTCATTCTTATTCCCAGAAAAAGGCATTGCTGGCTCTGAAGAAGCAAAGTAGCAGCAGCATAGCCAGCCAAGGCGGCGTGAAACGCTGTGAGTGACGGGAGCACGGGGCTGGCTTTTCTCCCTCCTGGCCGCCAG